AAAAAATGACTAAAACTAAAATGGCATTTTAGCAAAAAGACTAAATTGAAATTTGACGTAAATATTGAGTGGTTATATATCACAACGGCTAAATCTGTGCCTGTAGTGCATGTTCAAACCTTAATACCATAAATAACAACATGTTATTAGATTTTTACTCCAGAAGTGTGATTTTGGAAATTCTAGAGAAATGCCTAAATAATGCATTGCAATTTAGCTAAACTCATTAGCTTTTGGTTGACTAAAAGCATTTTAGTCAACTAAAAGGTACTTGAGATTTTAGTCAACAAAAATGTTTTGGAGATTTGAGTCACCTAAAATACAACTAAAACAATTCGGATGACTTTAATACACCTAAAACTAAAACGGCATTATATAGTCAAAAGCCTATGACTAAAACTAAATCGAAATTTGATGTCAAAATTAACACTGCAGTGGGGTTTAAAAAAAAGACACAAATCCATCTAGCTCAACAATTAGAAAAAATAAACAAATAGAAAACCTCTTATACCTAGAGTTGATCCAGTGAAAGGCAAAAAAGAAAAAAACAATACAGCATGGTCCAATTTGCCCCAGCAGGGAAAGTAAAAACCTTCCTGCAAAAAAAAAAAATTCTACAACATACAATTTACATACAATTGCAATGTTATGCCTCGGCTGTCATACCAGCAATGATCAGCAGCTCAATAAGGCCCTTATCAAACGGGGTGGACTCCATTTGGATCAGCAGGGGATCTGTCCACTGATCCCCTGCTGATCAGAGTAGAGCGGGCGGATCAGAGGTCCTTGTTTATGCAGAATGGACACAGACGGGCCCATTCGGCTCTATGGGCATTTGGGCGTAAACGGACACTTCCCTTAGCTAAATATTATTCACATTGTTAAAAGATCGTAAAATAAGTAATCTTTCCATCCAACACAATGTCATTTTTTTCTATGATATACAATTTAAAGAATTCAGTGCATGGTATCAATGAGAAGATTTAGGCACATCAACTAATTTAGGCAATTAGCAAAAAGCCTTCTTTCTTCATTTAGATTATAAATCAACTATTGTCTTATACAAATTGAAGAATTTTATAATTATTGTCCACCAATGTATGATACTTTATAGACGTGTATAATTGCTTTACAACAAATCTCAACTTCAACATATCACATCTTCTGCGGCACCAGATTGCCCACCACGCTATTACACTCCCACTAAGTCGCTGATAACTGCCACTACCTGTATAGTATCATATCTGTATAAATTCCAGTATATATACCATAGTTGTAGATGTTATAACTTTCACACAAACCAATTAATATACACTTATTGGGATTTGTTTTTACCAGACAAGTAGCAGAATTCAATTTGGCCTAAGTTTATGAAGAAATTTAATTTTTTTTTATTGGATATGTTTTATAACAGAGAGTAGAAAATATTGTGGGTTTTTTTTCAACATCTCTGGTCTATTTTTGTTTATATAATAATTTAAATTAAAAAGGGGGTGAAAAAGTACCACCAAAAGAAAGCTTGATTTGTGTGAAAATATTTCATTTTCCAAGAACTTCTGGCAAAAAATAAAATCTTCCATGGCCTCAACATGCCTCTCAGCAAATACCCTGGGGTATCTACTTTCCAAAAAAGGGTAATTTGGGGGGGGTGTTTGTACTGTCCTGGCATTTTAGCTCCTCAAGAAATGTCAGAAAGTCAGAACTGCTTAGAAACTGCATAAATTCCTGTATGTATACCATAGTTTGCATAGTTTGGATGTGACCCACAACCTCAAATCAGGGAAGGACATGCATGGGGTCAGCAACCCGTTGCTTCAGATCAGGGCTTGCCAATCTACCATCCCAGAGCATCAGAGTGCATCGAGCCAGCTCCCACAGCGGAGAAAGCAGAGGGAGCAGGAGCTGCATAAGCCGATGCTTCCCCTGTAGTGCTGGCTTCCTCCTATCCTAGGCTGAATGATACCAAGTGCAGCCTGGAGACTGATACCAGCAGAAGCTGGAAGGGGAAAAGGTTGTCAGTGTATTAAACAACACATACACTGCACTTTTGTAATGGGCAAATTAGCACCTATAAAAGGGTTAACAACTATTATGCTGCTTTCACACCTACGGCTTTCCTGCAGGTTAGCTGCACTGAGCCATAGACTTCTATTATATCCTGTGGGTTTGGTGCGCTTTCTGAAAGTTTACCACACCAGCAAGATATAATAGAAGTCTATAGCAAAGTGCAGCTAACCCGCAGGAAAGGTGCACTGCACTGCACTTGCTGTGTGGGTAAACCACAGCACATCAGTGTGAAATCAGCCTTATAGGGAGCTCAGGACAGAAAGGGCTTTGTTTTACATTTGCGGTTTGAGGGTGGTAAAATCGCTTAGCTGAGATGTGTTTTTACCACAAACCCACACCACTGCTGTAGCGTCAGGCGTCGCATACCCATCCTATGCTCCAGGGGGCCCGTGAGGCCTCTCTGTCACATTTTGTTCTAAACTTGGACATGAGGGGCAGCTAATACAGGAACCAATCCTCTCCATTTTCCTCCTGCAACTTCAGAAAGCTGGCTTCTCCTTCTCTACATTCCACCAGCTGCAGAGGGAAAATGTTCATTATACTGTTCAAAATAGAAAATTTGAAAATCTGAACCATTTAATTTCATTGTGGCCCGTGTCCAGTTACCAAATCACTTAAAGGGCCATCGCTCTTCAAAAGGTTGGGCACCCCTGTTGTAGAAGCTATAAATTAGGGAGTATAGCAATGAAAGCCCTCTCTAGAATCTACACCTTCATAATTGAAGCTCTTACAGAAAATTTCTAGGCTAAACTTCTAGGCTTAAACCAGGAGCCCCTGGCACACACAACAATTGGATGTAATTGACAGCTCACTAGGCTGAAAATAACAAAGCCTGAACTTCCCACTTTCCTTATATCACTAAAAGTCTGCCAACAACTGAGGTGTTAGCAAACTTTGTGAAAGAAACTCACCCCTACAACAAAAGCATTACACTGCAATTGTAAAGGTATAGGGTTTGAGGCTGATCTGAGGTCTGAAGTGTAGCCACCAGGGTTGATCTGAAGTCTAAAGCTTATGCACTGTGGCTGATCCATGGTCTGAAGTGCATGCACTGGGGCTGAACATGTTTTTTGTGTGTGTTCCAGTTAATCATTGTTTGGATGCATAAATATATCAGAGTGCTTACCTAAATGTATCAAAGCGCTTTAGTGCTCATTCACTATTTTTTTCTTTTTCGTCAACAACTGCTTTCCTAACATTTCTCTTATAACTCTCTTGGGCCATAATGGTTCCAGTCCACACTATGCTAGTAAAAACTCAATTGCCTTAAGGAATATGTAAACCCAACATTCACATTCCTGATATGTGCCTGCTGTACCATGTACTTGTATAAAAAAAGTATCCTGTTCTCTTTGTATTGCTTCTTTATTTAAAATCCTTGGTGTTCCTGCCAGTTCCTCTGCTTTTCTATCAAAAATGGACTACACAAAAAAGGAGAATACACCGTGGTCAGTTTTTTAGATACGCTAGGAACTCAGCCTGCTCTCCTCTAATGATGACTTGTCCTGGCATGCCCCCCTCTCCACCTGCACAGCCTTTCACTGGGAAGATCAGTGTGTTGCTGTTTCTCCTCCCTCACCTCTTATGCAGCTGAGAACATAGAGTATGTGATCACTTATAAAAAAGGAAAAAAAAAAACATTTATAATTTTTTTTTTATCCATACACAAATGTTTTGCCTTTCATTTCTATTTTAAAATGAATGGGTTGTTTTACAAGGTGAGGGTTTATCACTTTAACTCAGACATTCCTTGCAGCCTTGACTGAACGGATACTTACACCTAGTGGAGCCACTCCATATGAAACAAAATATATCGCATCACCATCTAGAACTTTTTCAGCTTTGCAATGTAAATTAATTGTGTAAATGCAAGGTCAATTTTCCTTTTACTGTATCAGACATATTTTGAAATGGTGTAACATTCAGGATGTAACATGTAATATGTTACTGTAAGACCAGAAACCCCCCCCCCCAATCTTGCGTTGTGACAACTAGTTAGCTAGTGGGGGAAAAACACACTGCGCCTAGCGGGGCTCCACCCACCTAGCTGTTTCATTCATTCACAGAGGTCTGTGAATGGGAAACTACAAGTACTTAACAGCCTTTGTGGCTGTTGGCTTGTAGTTCTCAATGAACTACCACAGCACTGTTGAGTGCTGTGGTAGTTCATTGATTCTTCCTGTCAGTGTAAAACTGCCTGCCCGTATGATGTATGGACAGACAGATTGCACTGACAGCCTGCAGGAGACCTGCATGGCATCAGCAATCTGCTGAGGGCTGGTGCAATGCTTTCCAGGCTCCTAAAACAAAATATAGTAAATGCACATTTTTTTACCTGCAAAAATATGCATTTTTCATTTTTTGTTAAAAGCTGAACTCATCCTTTAACCACAAGCCTACAGGGCACTTATACCCCCTTCCTGCCTAGGCCAATTTCCAGCTTTCAGCGCTGTCGCACTTTGAATGACAATTGCTCGGTCATGCAACACTGTACCCATATGACATTTTTATCATTTTTTTGTGACAGATAGAGCTTTATTTTGGTGGTATTTAATCACCTATGGGTTTTTTATTTTTTTCTTAAACAAACCAAAACCACTGAAAATTTTGAAAAAAAAAAAGTTTTTTCTTAGTTTTTGTTATTAAATTTTGTAAATAAGTGATTTTTCTCCTTCACTGATGTGCACTAATGAGGCTGCAGTGATGGACACTGATAGGCTGCACTGATGGACACTGATAGGTGGCACTGATGAGCACTGATGAGACACTGGTAGGTGGCACTGATGGGCATTGACAGGCATCACTGATGGGCACTGATAGGCAGCACTGATACATGGCACTGATATATGGCACTGATAGGCGGCACTGACTGGCACTGATAGGCGGCACTGACAGGCACTGATAGGCGGCACTGACAGGCATTGATAGGCGGCACTGACTGGCACTGATAGGTGGCACTGATTGGCGTTGATAAGCGGCACTGACTGGCACTGATGGGTGACACTGAAAGGCAGCTCAGATGGGCACTGATATGTGGCATTGATGTGCACTGGTAGGCACTGATATGTGGCATTGATGTGGCACTGGCATGAAGCACTGATGAGCACTGACACAAGGCACTGATGGATACTGACAGGTGGCACTGCTGGGGCTACACTGATCACCAGGGCACACTGATCATCAGTGCCCTGATGATCAGTATACATGTCCCCTCTGAGGGATGCCGATTACCGGCTCTCCTCTCGAGCTGTCAGTGTGACAGCTCGAGAGGACAGAAATGCCGATAACTGGAATTTCCCTGTTTACATGTGATCAGCTGTGATTGGACACAGCTGATCACATGACCGAGCCGACATCGTCGGCTCTTTTTCGTGATCGGTGATCCGCTGTGTCCGAGGGACACAGCGCACGGTGAGAATGGGAGGGCATCATATGACGTCCTCCCAGAATGAGAGAACCACCTTGTGTCCGTCATATTACTATATGGCGGGCGGGAGGTGGCTAAAAAGTGCATGTAAAAACCACAGAAGATCAAGTATTTTAAATGATTGCTTGCAGCATTTTTCTTTCCCATAAAAGATTTTTTTTTACTTACCTGTATGATCTTTTCTTTACAGTACAGGACACAGAAAATTTAGTCCTAACCATGGGTTATATGCAGCTACCCTCAAGTGATTTGTCTCATAAATCCAGAAGGTTGTGATGCAACACTGTGGAGTGAATCTGGGAGTATGGTACTGTCTCAAATGCAGTGTTAATTTTGACGTCATATTTTGATTTAGTTTTAGTGGTAGTCTTTTGAGTAAAATGCCATTTTACTTCTAGTCATATTTTAGCCATCTAAATTGTTATAGTTTTAGTAGTATTTTAGTCGACTAAAATCAAGTTAAGTGAAAATTTTAATGCATTATTTAGGAATTTCTCTAGAATTTCCAAAACTCATTATATGCTCCTGGAGTAAAAATCTAATAGCATGTTATTATTTATGGTATTACGGTTGTTTGAACATGCACTACATGCACAGATTTAGCCGCTGTGATATATATAACCAGTGTTAGTTTTTTTATTTTGTTTTAGTCATAGTCTTTTTACTACAATACCATTTTAGTTTTAGTCATATTTTAGTCATCTGAATATTTTCGTTTTAATTTAACCACCTAAAATAGCGTTAATTTAGTCGACAAAAATATTTTCATTGACAAAATTAACACTGCTCAAAGGAGGCTATCATTAAGCCCAAGGCTCCCATGCAAGCAGAAATTAAGGGCTGGCTTTGGGAAGGAAGGTTATTTTCCAATATCAAACCCAGGTCTTCCAAATGGTTGGTCAGGTCCAACGATGAGTAGGTTGAGAATGTATCTGAATCTCTGCAGAGTTTGCACTGTCCTTTGTTCTTTGGCTTACAGGGTTTAGATGGACTGGTCCCTTAACAGACATTCCACAATCAGGATACCCTGAGAACAGAGCAGAGCTAGGACTGAGGCAAGCACCATGGAGAAAGCCCAGGGTGCTGTAGACAAGTCAAATGGTAATGTTGTGTGCCCACAGCAAAATACAGATAGCTTTGATGAGGAAGAAAGATGGGGATGTGTAAGTAAGCACCCAGAGGCAAGAAGATCTCCTGGTAGAAGGAAAGCAAGAACCAACCTGGCTAATGAAAGTCCAGAAGTTGAAAGGTTTCCTTTTGCCTTGGGAACTTTGAACAGGTTGAAGCAGAAGCCTTTGTACTGTTCCATGCCCTGAACTACGCTGATGCACCAGACAAGTGAGGAAGATGGCACATTTTAGAGCAGAGACCTGGGCAAAAGAAATGTCCTGTTCTCAGAAGCCAAAGGCCTTCTTATGAGAGTGTGAGCCTTCTTTTTTTTAGGGGTGGAGCGTACCCTAATGCGTACCCTAACACCCCAGTGGTTTCTTTGATATACTTGTCAAAGGAGGTGCCAAATAGGTGTTCTGTCTCAAGAAGTATCCACTCAAGACACTTCTTGCATGGGTGCTTCACCAGTCAGCATTTGAGCCAGAGGCTCCTTCCCATGTGAATGAAAATGAGGGGTGAACTTTAATATCTTGTGTCCAAGTCATGCAGTAGAAAAATCCACATGTAAAAGCTCTAGGTGGTGGCAAACAAAGGAAGTTGCATTATGAGACCTGTCTGAGAGAGCACTTCCAGCCTCTAGTTTGCCAGGTCCTTGAAAACTGAATTATCTTCCAATGTAGACATCAAGGTCTTAAGGCATTAGAGGGCTGGGTCCACAACATAGACCAACCATTTCTTAAATGACCCCTGCCAAATAGGATTTTGCTGGACAAAGCATTTAGGAGGGGGCAAAAAGGTTTCAAGGTGAGGCCAGTCACCATACAAATGTGCTCAGGGAGCGAGTGTACAACAAAGGTCTAAGCAGGTTTGGCCATTTTAATGGAACCCAAGATGAACACTTTAGAGTAATCTGATTCAGATTAGGCAAGTTAAGGCATGTGTGTACTGCATCAATAAGGCTAGCAATGGTATCCTTAAGCATTAGAAGGGTTTCAGCATATAAACCCCCATCCTGACATAAGGGATATAGAAGGGGAAATGGATGGGATTGTTCTTATCCTCCTCCACAGGGGGCATGGCAGCTGCAAGGGGAAAGTCAGCAACAGACACTGAATAGTAGGCTATATGGGGCCCGATTGTGGCCCCTGCGATATGCAGCCTCCATAAGAGCTGCAAGACTTCCCATAATCTCAGACATAGTGATCAAATGTTCATCTCCAGATATGTAGGATGAAGGGTGCAAGCCAGAGGGAGCAACAGATGCCTCAAGGGAAGGTGACCCAAATGAGGTCAGGGCTGAGAAAACTAGAACCTTTTAGAGAGAGACTACTGCCTCCTGAGTTATGAGCTGATTGCAGGGTGGGAAAGGCTGATGCCATTTATGCCAAGTGCATATAGGCTATGCTGTAGTGATGATGTAACAGCACAGAGCTGTGTTGGTCCTTGCGTACCAGGAGAGAAAAAAGTCACACAAAGGCACAGTAAATTTGAGAATGGCAGCCCCTGCTGGGGACAAGGAAAATTGTGCCAAAAGCAATGAAATGTGCACCTGAATCAGTGCTCCTTCCTATAGCTGTGAAATACCGGAGCACAGCACACTAGGTCCAGTAGAGTGCTGTTAGCCCACACTCCCTGCAGCATATCTTGTTAGGGATGTTAGGGATGACCCCCATCCTGGTTTTGCCTTTTTGACAGGCATACACCTCAAGGGGTCTTCAGGGACAAGGCTCTACCAACTGATGGACCACAGCCCTTGACCTGCTGCTAACTCAACATGATGCACTACACGTTATGGTAGGTGTCCACACAGGATCCACTGCCAGAAGCAACATTACAGGCCATCCCTACTTTTTCCTCCAGGAGGGCTTGGGTACTACCTACCAGATGGGCACGGAATTGCAACCAAGCAGTGCAGCGCTGCAGAGGCTGTGACAGCTGTAACTGTCAAGTCATGAATCAGAGGGGAAGAGCAGTCAGTGTATGCACACATAAAAAATATAATGTCAAGATCTGGGCAGGTAAGAGGAAGGTTGGCACCTGTCATCAGGTGCGGTCCAGCTGTTAAAAAGCAGTGCAATAAAGTCTCACTTGAGTGACAGCTCTGAATTTGCTGGGGCTTCTGACATTACTTTCAAGATGGTAACACCCAGCAGTGGTCTCAGGTCTATTTTATGTCTATACAAGAAAGGCTTTTAACGGTATATAACATGCATAAAGTACATTAAATGCACGTTTAATTTCATGGGAATATTGCTGTTGAAATGAATAGTCTGGCAACAGGGTCTCTTAACTAGTTTTTGGGAACGAACAACCCCACCTTACAGTCTACACCAGTGGTCACTAAATAGCGAACCGTGCCCGGAACTGGACCGAGCGACAGTCCTGTCTGAGCCGCAGCCATACCACTGCCACGGCTGGGTGTCCTCTTCACCCAGCCACCGATGTCATCCTCACAGTGGGCAGGGTGCAAGGAGCTGCAGATCAGGACTGAGGGGCGGGATCCCAATTGTTAACATAACAACTTGAGCAGCTCCCGCCCCTCAGTCCCGATCTGCAGCTCCTCCCACCCCCACCTGCTATGAGGATGACCTTTGGTGGTGGGCTGGAGGCCCAGGAGAGGACACACCAGAAGGATTAGTGCCTCTGCTCTGCCTAAGGTACCATAGGACTATGCAGGGAAAGGCTTGCATTAAAAGGGGCACTGTGTTATGTTAAGGGGCACGGTGTTGTGATTGGGGCGCTGTGTTGTGTTGAGGGGTGCTATGCTGTGTTAGGGGGTGCTGTGTTGTGGTAAGGGGGTGTGTTGTGTTAAGGGGTGCTGTGTTGTGTTAAGGGGTGATATGTTATGTTAAGGGGCACTGTGTTGTGCTAGGGGTGCTGTGTTGTGTTAGGGGTGCTGTGTTGTGTTAAGGGGCACTGTATTGTGTTAGGGGTGCTGTGTTGTATTAAAGGGTGCTGTGTTTTGTTAAGGGGTGCTGTGTTGTGTTAGGGGTGCTGTGTTGTGTTAAGGGGCACTATGTTGTGTTAAGGGGTGCTGTGTTGTGTTAGGGGTGCTGTGTTGTGTTAAGGGGTGCTGTGTTGTGTTGAGGGGCACTGTGTTGTGTTAGGGGTGCTGTGTTGTGTTAAGGGGTGCTGTGTTGTGTTAAGGGGCACTGTGTTGTGTTAGGGGTGCTGTGTTGTATTAAGGGGTGCTGTGTTGTGTTAAGGGGCACTGTGTTGTGTTAGGGGTGCTGTGTTGTATTAAGGGGTGCTGTGTTGTGTTAAGGGGCACTGTGTTGTGTTAGGGGGCTGTGTTGTGTTAAGGGCACTGTGTTGTGTTAGGGGTGCTGTGTTGTGTTAAGGGGTGCTATGTTATGTTAAGGGGTGCTGTGTTGTGTTAAGGGGCGCTGTGTTGTGTTAAGGGGCACTGTGCTGTGTTAGGAGTGCTGTGTTGTGTTAAGGGGCGCTATGTTATGTTAAGAGGCGCTGTGTTTTGTTAAGGGGTGCTGTGTTGTGTTAAGGGGCGCTATGTTATGTTAAGAGGCGCTGTATTGTGCCAAGGGGCGCTGTGTGATGTTAAGGGGCACTGTGATGTTTAAAGGGGCACTGCAATGTGAAGGGGAACTGAGGATATTGTGGGACTTGTTTAAAAGAGATGACTGTGATGTAGAGGGGACTACAGTGTGAAAGGTACGCAAAAGATGATAATGTTCCTGGGGTGGTTGGGGGTGGAGTGGTGGGGGGGGGGACTGTGATGTGTGTTGTATCGCTAACGAGATTCGGACCTCTGCTGGAAAGAAATTTTGCTTACCAGACCTTAAATTTTGATGG